AAGTGGCCAAGCGGAGGGCAAACGCGGTGGCGGGCATGCCGTGGCGGTGTGGCATGCAGCCGCCGACATGGTTCTCACGCGAGCTCAGCCGCTTGTATGCGCTGCTGGCGGTCAGTATGTTACAAAAATGTATATATGTGTGTGTTTGTATGTGTTGGTGCATAATAAAATCGTATACAACAATCGAATGGAAAACATTAACAATAAAATACGCGCAAACATACAAGCATATAGATATGTACATACGTATGTAAGGCATAAAATGGAATAAAAGTAAAGAAATTAACAACAATATTCAAACATGCAAGTACATATGCGTATATACATATACTTGTACATATACACCAGCATGCAACCACAACATTGTCGCCACAAAATGTTGTGATTTCGCTTCATACATATTTATTGTTATTGTTGTTCCAACTCAGGTTCTCTTTCGTGTTTATTTTACTGTTTTTTTTTTTTGCGTTTTTGTTGCCTTGCCACATTTGCATCATTCGCCGTTGTTATATTTCTTTTTTATTTTTTACTCTCACCGTTGTTGTTGTTGTTATTTTTTCTATTACCTTTGTTATTGCTTTCGTCTATTTATTTAGTTTTTTATTGTTTTTGTTATTGCTGCATTCACATTCGCATTTACCACGTTTACCTTTGCATAAAATATGAGCGACATCGCAGCGAAAGTCAAGTGAATGAAGAAAAGAAGGAAGCAAGCGGAATATTAACACAAGTACAATATAACGACAATATCCGTACTTAGCATGAAACAACCAGAAACGGAAACAAAAACAAGCTCGCATTAAAAGTAGCAACACATATATTTTTAAATATACTTCCTACTTTAAGTCAGCCTAGGCTATTGTTGCCAATCTCTTCTCCTTTCGCTAAGAGAGACCGCGTAGTTTGAGTTTATGACTAAGGTTTGTTGATTAATGATTTCAAGCGGATTGCAGGTATAATTTGATTAAATTTCATTATCAGCAATATGTGGTTAATGGTTTAGAAATGTTTTTTTTTCCTCGCCTAGATTAGTGATTACAAACACAAAGCTGATTCGCTTTGACAAAAGTTAATTTATGGGCTTACCAAATCTACATTTCTTAGAGCTTTTACATAGCGCAGCGCTTTTATAATTACTTTTTGACCAAACAAACAAATCTAGCGGCACTTAAGACTCTATAAAAAATCGGTTCTTGTGTTTATCACATGACAACTCCAATCCAAGAGTTTTTCGAGAGCTTTGAATCTCATTCGCTATTCCAATATATTTTTTATTAACCTCTTCTAGAAGATAAGTAGGAGTATACTAGATTTTCCTTACATATCAAGTTTCATATTCAAATAAAGATTTAAAACTATTTCACTATGAAATTGAGAAATTGTAAGCGACGTTTATATATTAGAACATGTAAAATAGTATTATTCACAGAACTGCCCATCTGGAGCTATAACATTTTCTCAACTTTCTGGCAACTTGTGGAAGCCTATCTCTGTCAGCTAGAGCATGTTCACCTTAAATTTCCATCAAAATAAGATGACTTTCGGCTGAGATTTTCTACAGATTAAAGTAGTGAAGAAGAACTCCTCGCAAAAATATTTTTTTATGCAGAAGGTTTGACATATTTGAGTGAAACAATGTATTGTTGTTTACGCTTCAACTCATGATTCAGAATATTGGAATATCATAATATTAACGAAGTTACGCCATCTCTTAGCAAACCACACGAATATACCCAATACATAAGCATCTTGGTGATTTCTTCAACCACTATAAGATAATCCAGTAATTTAGCATTTTTCTATTGATTTTTCAAGAATATAGAACTCAGAATCTCAACGGTTATTTAGGACATTCCATTCTTTCCTTGAATATTTTATTTTGCGTTTTTTCTGATTATTCGAATGAGTGTATAGAGCTTTCATAAATAAATGTTCTATGCGTAAGCAAATAACTGTCTTATCGAATTAATTGGTTCAATTTAATCCAAATATTTACTCTAAAGAGCACAAGTATATATGTATGGCCTGGAATGTATGGAAATGTAGCCTACATTTCTAAAGTATATGTGGGTCTGGAATTGTATGGTGTCTCAATACTAACAATGGGAATTGAAATTAAACTTGGCATTTAAAGATTGAAGAAATCTAAGATTAACTCCAACCTTTTATATTTATCTCTTCCATTTAAGAAATTATAGACCTTCAAGCCATTATGTCCAAAGGTAGCAAAAACGACAAATACATCAAAAAATATAAAAAATATTAAATAAATTTTCTCGGGCGCAAAATATACGAAATAATGCAATAATAGATGAAAGCCAAGTCAAATGAACAAAAAATAATTCTACGAAAAAAAAGAAAACAAAACCAAATTGTGTCAAAAAGCCCGGATGGAAAATTGCATTTTAATAATTTAAACAACTCTACTACCGCTGCAAGTGTAATAAAATATACATACAATCACACAAACACAAACATATATACATAAACATCTATGTACATAAGCATAATTGTATGTATGTAAATGGTAAAACTTGTCTATGCCGGTATCGCACTTAATGGCTGGCATAAAAGTCAAGTGGAACGTGGGGAACTGAGCAAACAAGCACAAGTATTGTACAAGCGAGCCGGCGACAAAGCGGGAATACAATGAAAAAGCAAACAGAAAATTATATCATTCTTCTTCTTCATATTTATGTCTGTGTTATTCCTGTAAGCACTCAACACGTTTTATGTGCGCTTTGTTTTATTTTTGTTTTTCAAGAATAATTTCCGCCCTTCGCTTGCTTTTTGCTACTCGGCTTCTTGCCGCTCAAGTGGCTACAAAGCATATTTCTTTTGTTTATAACAACTACGATAAATATGTAATAATAAAGAGCTTGAGTTCATTGTATGATCTACAGCTTTAAAAATATATTAATAAACTAAATACTATTAAAGGAAAATAAGGTCGAGTAACTACAGAGTTTTTTAAAAGTAGGAAATTTTTTTTATTTCGAAGTAGTTTGAGGGTGATAGGTTATAAAATATATACAAATATAAACTAGACTGGCTCAAACAACAAAAACGGTTAATTATTCTTCAATATTTATTTTATCCCCTTCAAAATAGTCACCATTAGAGGCGATACACATATGCCACCTTTTTTCCCAATCTTCCTAACACTTCTGGTAGGCCGCTTTAGGTATGGCTTTCAGTTCCTTCTTCGAATTCTCTTTTAGGATTTCAATCGACTGAAAATGCTTTCCACGAAGCGGCAATTTGAGTTTAGGGAAAAGAAAAAAGTCACACGGTGCCATGTCGGGTGAATACGGTGCCCAAAACATCGTGAATAATGCTATGAGCGGATCCATTTGATATGTTGAGCTCACTAGCTATCTCTCTTTCAGTCACACGACGACTTTCCAACACAATTTTCTTTACTTTTTCGACGTTTTCTTTGTTTATTGACGTTGCTGGACGACGATCATGGGGCAAGTTCTCCAGCGATGTACGGCCGTCCTTGAACGACTTATACCAATCAAAAATACGTGCGCGTGATAGGCAAGACTCCCCATATGCCTTCTGCAACATTTTCATTGCGTCCGTCGCACTTATTCCATTGGAATAACAAAATTTCAAACAAACACTTTTTGCTCAACGATAATTTCCATAGTAAAAAAACACTCGAGGTTGATTTGTTTATAGTGCCTTAAAAAAAAACTATGTGACAGATCGCGCTCAAATTTGACATGTAACTGACATGTCCTGCCAACCTAAGCAAAAAAAAGTATGGCCATATGTCATGTCCTTGTCGAGTTATGGATAAAGTCTCGTTTTGCGTTGAGCAGAAGGTATATGAATAAATGTTGTACAAAACCAATTTTAGTTTATTTATATCTCAAAATTTTCAACAAGAGGGAGTAAAAAGTAGAAAAACTTATTAGCTAATAAAAATCCCTTTGTAAGCCCTAATATAGTTTTACATAAAAAAGTAAATTATGCATTTGTAAAGCACAAATTATAAAACTAAAACTAATATAATATATTTTTTATTCATAAAATGTTCCCTTATACAAAAAAAATATCTAAAGTTCTTTCTCCTAATATTATTAAAATATTTTTAAAAGTAGTTATAATCGATATAATTTCGTTTCTTAGAACTAAATTTACTTTTATGTTGATATATATACTATATATATTATTTTAAAAATTGTTCCAAAAATATGTTTTATCCTTAAAGGCACACCAAATTGATTTTATATAAAATTTTTTATTCAATATTCAATTTGCTCCCATTATTTGAAGTCCAGTCAAAAATCAGAAAGGTTTTGCTTCTGATACAATTCAATAATATGATTATACACCATCAATTGTTGCATACATTTAGGGGCATTGGTAATTATTTGCCAAATTGTTTATCAAAAATACAGTTTAGACCCATATAACCCATTATAACAGATACTCAAAATACTGCCAACTTTCTAAAGAACTTTGTTTTTGATATAACTCATTATAAATCACCGTTGCCTACATTTAGGTGTAACGGTAATTATTTATCATATTCCTTTTCAAAAAACGGGTGTAAAAGACGACATTTCAACTTAAAAATAATGAATGACCTATATTAGAAGCAGAACCGAAGTTTTGTTGAAAGAGGTGGCTATAAAGTAAACCGCATTTCTTAGTTTTTGTTTATAAAAGTAAATATAATGTCACTCAGAGTTTTGTTTGGTTAACTGAAATTTAACTATGAACAAGTTTAAAGCCACACTGTGCTCCCACCAACGTAATAGGTCTGTCTTTTTGAAAACTTTTAATGAACATCCGTTCTAAGTAGTCGAAGCTAAGCACAGAAACAAAATTAACAATATATATAGGTATAACAGTAATATAATAATAATAATATTTGCAATAGCAATAACGGCAAAATAAAAAATAAAAAGTATATATAAAAGTATTAAAAATAATGTACATGCCATAAACACAGTGGCATTTTTTCTTATATGAAATAAAATACACTTTCGTTTTTTTTTTGGCTCTAAAAAAATAACATCTTACCTTAGATATTTCGATAATTTTTCTTTCAAAAAAGCCATTTAAAATTGCGCTTAAATATGTGCTAGTACAAAACCCGTAAACAAAGCATCTAAAGGTATGCAACACCTACTTTATATAAAGCGCGTAGAAATATGCAATGAAATATTGACATTATAAAATATTTTTCACCAAAGCCAACATCAACAAATGCCCAATAATGTGGATAGTAACAGAAAGTAAATAATCTTTGCCTACGTTCAGGCACATTTCAGCAGAAATTTTTAAAAACAAACCACAAATAGTGATCAAAAATATTAAATAAAAAATGTGCGTTTAATACTTGCAACAGTGCTGTAGTATCACCGTAAACAACAGTTAAAAATATTAATTTCATTCCACTTGTAATTTAGTCGTAAGTGTAACAATGTCTCTTTGCCAATACAATCATCAAGTTGTTGTGGAATTACAACACAAATCAAAATCACTACAACGGCCGCTAGTGCCACAATGTTGTTGTTGATTATAGTTAAAATTGCAACCAATAACAAAGAAACCTAGCAAATACAACGTAACAATCAGTTTGGCTCCATCCACTTTAACCTAGTATTACTGTCGGCTTGATTGCCGGCGCAACAGTAGCAGCAACAATATGGCTGCCGTTGCTGGCCTCTATGGTCTCGGCGAGGATCGTCAGCATCGCAAAAAGCAACAGCAACAACAGCATCATCAGCAGGAGCAACGTGAACAAAAGGAGGAGCAAAAGAAGATCGCCGAGCGGAAATTGTTGCGTGAACAGCAACAACATCTGCTATCACGTGCCTCATTTGAAGGGTGATGTAGCAATTTATATTTCGTTACCTTTTCATAAATATATGTACAATTTAAAAATTTTAAGATTTTACAAAGTATTTACATATAAAACTCATACTAGGGAATATATAACTACCATAATCTGCAAGCATTTTGAAAACTTTGCCTTTATATAATCGACTCTGATATTATTTAAATAATTTTATTTATAAAAACTTCTTATATATGTATTACATAAAATTTCTCAGTGTTACTCTAAATTAAGTTGTCATATGGTCTTAATCCAGAAATTCATGTCTATACTGGTCTTTTGACTGTGAACATCAAGTAAGGTTTCCAAGTTTACCTCATTGTACCAATCGGAAAGGGTCCAAACATAAACCTTGTAATCAGAGAGGGCGACAGACGTAACTTACTGAAGTTGACTAAGGAAGGACTTTTCAGCTGTCTAATACTTTCTGAATTTACGCTAGACACAACTGTTTAACAGATACCAAGAACTCTCGCCCAATACAGTTATAGTTTGACTAAAATAAGGGTTCCTTTAAGCTAATTAGCCACTAGTTTCCCAATACCACTAGTACCAGGCATATATATATATGCGTTTTATCAAGAAAAGTCTCAAAGTATACGATATCTAGGTGAAATAATTATTTACTAGTTTAGTGAGTTTAGAGACATGCTTACGGAGTCTTTTTCAACATTAAAGAGACTGCTTTAAAAGGCATAAAATCTTCTCACATTTGCCACTAGCAACCTTCAAAAGTCTACAATGAACAAGCCTGAAATAGATAGTTGATATAAGCTGTCTTTCACTCGCCAAGCTTAGTAAGTAGGAGAGTAACGAATCGAACAAACTATAGTAGATGTTCAAATAAACTGCTTCTGACGCATTCGCAATTGTGTTGTTGTTCTTTCTATGGTGCAGAAATTATTTGAAGAGAGCAGCACCGTAAGATATCGACCAAAGAAACGGCGCATCAAACGCAGCTAAAGGTTGTAAACTCTCTAGTTTCCAGCCTCGAATGTCCTTCATTAGTAACAGTAATAGACTTGACAGGGCTATGCTCTCAGGAATAGAATTAAAGTTACCAAATATAGCCTAGTTAAAGCTGAAGTATTGCTTCTTAGTGCTAAAGAAATGCTTTTGGTGAGAGTCGATTTTTTGTTTTTCTGTTCGTCGACGCTTTTATTACGCTCTCCCTTCAATTATTGGTTTCTATAATGGTTTTCATGATGGTTTTCTACTATATAGGCTAAGTGGCCGACATTTCTTCTTATCGGCAAACTATAGGTCAATGGTTTCCATTTAGTGTATTGGGTCGACGTAATGTCACCTCTTAAGGTTAAGTCCCTTTTTTGACTGATATTCTCTTGAAAATTTGTCCAAACGTAAATTTTGTCCTTAAAACCATTATTTTTGTAGAGGGGCCTCCAGAAGTTTATATTTCCTTGTGAATAGAACTAACATTCTTACTTGTATTGGCCAGAGTATATCATAATTATATTCTTAAGGAGTTATATACACCTGTAAGGCAAAAAACCCCTATTTTCGTGAATTTTCTTTATTTTTATTATTAATTAATAATGATGGAAGGATATTTTTCTGACAAATACATCTAAGAAGGTCGATCGGTTTATTAGTTTCGGAATAATTTTCCTCACCGACTCTGGAAACAGCTTCCTTAAAAAACGCATATAAGATTTGGGAGCCCATTACACTCAATTAAAAAATTCTTACAAATACGTTCATATCTTTGAAAAAATTCGCTGGATTAACTTCAAATGTGCGGAAAATATTATAAATCAGAGAATAATATATTATTAATATTATATATGTAAATGTATGTTTGTTCCATATATAAGCAAAAAAAATTTTTCTATGAAATTTGCAAATGCACATAAACCCTTAAGTTGGATCAGGACCTTCGCTATTTTTATAGGGGATCCCATGGTAGTTTTCTCAAATTTCTCTGTTTGCGAAATGCCTATCTTCCGGTTTTCCTAATATATGCTGATACTCTTTCCTACCACTGCTCTGTATCTAAAGTGACCAAAGATAAGGCTTTTAAGGTTTAAAGCCGCCCTAAATTTATCAGAATCTCTAAATAGTGCCCCGGAGGGCATAAATTATGCAAACATAAAATTTAAAAAAATTAAAGCTTGAAAATAAAAATTAATCGCATGAAAGGCGCCATCGCCGACTAGAATTTCTAATATGGTAATATATTTATTTATTTCAACAAAGGAGTAATAAATTAAAAATACATGATTTATGTCGTAAATGAAAACATAATAATTTCTTAACCGATTTCTTTTACCTTTTTGCGCCAATTTTATTATTTTATGACGCTTATCAGTTGCAAGCAATCTATGCAAATTTATTTCTCCTCACAAGTGTTAAATACACTCTAATGACACAATCACTTGGAAAACCACATGGCCACAGCGACACACACACACACCTTGCAACAAAATTACAAAATTGGCAAAGTGCCTGGCGGCCAGCAATTTACCACACATTATATTATTCGTTTCCTTCCTTCCTGAAACGAAGTCGAAAGCGTTGTCCCTTCCACTTTCTGTGCAGTACACCACAGTTACCTGCCACTAACACATGCACACATACAGGTATACTCGTATTGGTGGCAACGCTGATACCTTTTATTAGTTGGCGTTGGTGTTTTTTTTTTATGCCCTAAACAGGGTGTATTAAATTTGTAATGATCAGCGTGATGAGCTGAGTCGACATAGCCACGTCTGTCTGTCGGTATATTATCGACTAGTGCCTCAGTTTTTTAGATATCGATCTGAAATTTTGCACACGCCCTTTTCTCTATAAGTACCTACTCATTTCTTGAAACCGCCGATATCGGTCCATTATAGCATATGGCTGTCAGAAAAACTGAACGATCGGAATCAAAGTTTGTACGGAAAACTTTGTCTAGTTGACAAGATATCTTCACAAAATTTGACATATAATACCAACGAAAACAACGGTATAATCTCCGAAGAAATTGTTCAGTTTGGATCACTATAGCATATATGTAGCTCCCTTACAAACTTAATGATCAAAATAATGTCTTTTTGTATGAAAAACTTTTTCATTTACAAAACGACTGACCAAAATCAAGTTCTTGTATGAGATATTTTGTATTTTTGAAGGGCATTATAGGTTCGGTGCAACTGAAGTTAATATTTTTTCTTGTTTCTTGTTTTAAAATGTGTGTCATATTCATTACACCCCGACAAAGGGACACGTACTAACTTGAAAAGGAAAATTTATTTGTTTTTGTGTGCGCCTTAACTTCAAGAGCGCACCACTTCCCCAACGAATTGCCTGAAAGGAGGGAGCAATCAGTGCGAAGTCAGTAAACTATTGTGAAAAGCACTCTAACAATTACACTCAAACGCACTCAGCGGCACACACACATACATATTTACATTCGCGTACCTGCGAGCAATATCTGCGGCTGCCGCTGTCATGCAAACATTTTGTGGCATATTACTTAGCGCAATTGACAGCGTGTGAACTCGAAATTGATTTCGAATTGAATTTCAATGCAAATTCATTCGCGCACACACACACACACTCACACGTATTTACAAAATTTGTATTTGAATGACAGGCGAACAAGTGTATAAGATATATCGTGAGCGCATAACGGTAACATATCGATTTAATTTTTATTTGCATTGACACATTTCACTTCGCGTTGTCCATCATGCCACATCAGGTGACGCACCTACATATGTATATAATCCGCTCACATACACGCGCAACAACTTGCACTAGTGTATATTACAATGTAAGCGTTTAGCTCCGATGGAATGCGCTTACAATGCAAATGCCAGAAAAGGTGTTGCAATGCGGAAATGCAAAAGTGCAAATTTCGCATGACACTTTGTTCGTTTGCCTTCGCTGAGTTATTTATTTGTGTTTGTATTGTTGTTGTTATTGTTTTTTTTTTGTTACTGTTTTTGCTCTTTTTGTTGTTATTGCCGTGGCAGCTGCTGCTGACAACTAGAAATCGGTTTCGCGGTTTGGTGAAGCGCATGCCGCAGTAGCAGCTGAAGCGTTTCTAATTTATTTGTATGGGTATGTGTGTGAATGTGATTTGTCACTGTAGTAACACTAGTTACAAATACAGATTTCTATTTGATTTGTCATGCTTTGGGTGTGGTGTGAATGTCTCAATTAAACGACTAAACTTGTGTTTATAAATATTGCATTGCATACATTTAGGCGGTTGCACAAGGCTTCTGGATAATTACTATTAATACGTGTGGGATTTCAGAGATATTTGAATTAATATCAAATTAACCTATTTAAAGGACCAGTTATAAACTTTAAAGATACTTTGAAGTTTGGTTGAACAGTTCGATAAACAATTATTTCGGTTTCATTCCCTTCCCAACCAGATATTCTTAATAAGATTATTACAGCCAGCAATAAGGGGGATTAAATCGACTTTCCTCTAGAACATATTAATTTGTTAATTTCCCTACAGAGTTTCCATTTAAAGTTTTTCTGATACAACCTGCTATTTGTTTTGAAATTTTATTAGATTCAAGTTTTAAGTTGGAGAATACCTTCTATAAAATAAGCACTGTTTGGAGATTTCTTGTCACAAAGAGAAGATGTCTTGCTGAGTGCTTAGCTGTACTTTTCTGTTATAAATGGTGTGAATGGTAAGGTTACAAGCCCCTCAACGGCTAAAAGATTAATTTTCTTGACAGAAATACGAATTAAGGCTTGCCGCTACCTTTCACGGGGCCACCAGTATTTTAAAAAGTGATCTCATAACACTCAGTAATATAATATTTATCGAACCAAAAAAGGATTAGTTCTTTCTCTGCAACGGTCCTTGGCCGCGTAAAATCCAAATCAATGTCGGCATCGTGGAATCAGTCTTATTAAATAATATCGTAGAAGTAATACGAGCATAAACTTATTTGACACTTTGACCAAACTTTTAACCGGGTATATTAAGTGCGCCACGAATTTTTTAACATCTAGA